GCAAGCGAATGTCGTCGAGGCCGCGATGGCGGAGGCAACTTCGGGCTGGTATCCTGAAGTAGATGTGGCTCGTCAAGCGCAGACCACAGCTGACAGATGCAAAACGAAGCAAGTCGGGCCAATAGTCTGCTCGCTCATGCGTACATGCGCACTGCTGTCTTGTACGGGTGCAATGCTGGACAACCACTCTGCTGTGTTGGCAGGCCACATTTCTGCAGTGCTGGCGTGGCTCCTCTACGCAACGCTGGCACGCAGTCGACCATGCTGTGCTGGCGGTCGACCAAGCTAGCTGCAGAGCTGCAAGGTGCCTGATGTAGTCATTCTTGTCATTGTCAATGCAATCATTCTATAATCCCAACTTTGCTAGTGGAAACTTTTGCCGACTTCTCCAGTGAATGTGCAAGTGCTAAGGAATGCAAGCAACTAGAGTTCGTGCCAACCCCCGTTGTCTAGCTCACGACTATTGTAGAGTGACTCTCCGCAGATGCAACCCCCATCATGAGGTCCTTGGGGTGTCACATGCAAAATCCAATCTGGTTGGATTTTGCCTAGGTGTTGCAACATTTGCAACCCATGCTAGAAACTTATAGCCACCCCAATCCAAAGGTCAAAGTTGCCTTCTTTACTACCCAACCAAAGGTCTTTTTATAGTCTTTTCCCAATATAGATAACATCTCAAAATAAGATAGAAACTCCAAAACTTGGAAATCTTGTAATTTGGGCGATCTTGGTCGGAATAAGGCGATCTTGGTATTGTTGGAAAGCTATGGATTTCTCCTGCATGATAAAGCATGTAGACTTGGAGAAAAACACAGAAATTATAAAATCCAACAGCCATACATAATGACATATGCTCATGCAAATTATGCAAGCACAAATAGCACGAGCACTTGGCAGGACGTTAGGATGAGATGCACTCAAACTGACATGCATTCAACAACAATCCCTCTTCTATCTTTCGTTTGGGCCTGTCTAGCTGCAGCTATTCCGCGAGCCTTTTCCCAATGAGCACTGGGTGCGCCCCAGTGTCTATGATCACCTGCTTCACCGAGATGGCCCCCACAGTGATGTATCCCTTTTCTGCCACCAAGACGGATGATGCGCAGCTGAGTCGCTCCAGCGGGTGGCGACACGGCGGGTGTTGCTTTTCTTCTGCTTCCGCCCTCCTCCTTGGGCCTAACTCCTTCCCTTCCTCGTTTTGTGGCCTCATGTTTCCTCTCCTTCAGCTTCAATCCCAGCTCTCCCCTATCCCGTGCTGGCCTTGCCATCAGGCAGAATTCTTCTTCGCTGCTTTCCTCCTCTCCCCTCCTCGCCACCATAGCCTGCTTCCTCTCGCTCCCCGCCTCGCGTCCTTCTAGCTATGCTTGTAACCTCTCGATTTCCGCCCGCATCTCTGCCATCTCGCTCCTCCTACGGTTGTCTCCCCAGCCTTCTCCCCTTCATGAATAGCAGTCCAGGTCCGCGTGCCCTTTACGTCCACATTTACCACTCACCGGTGCCTCCGGGTAGTCGCGCCTCAAACGGTCCTCTTGTCCGCAAATGGAACACGCCGGTGGGTTGCAACACTCCTACCTCAGATGCCCTGACTTGCCACAGTTGTGGCACTTTCGCACATTCGCGGGTCCTCTCGGCGGCCGGTCTCTTTCAACTGGCGCCGCACTCCAGGCTGGCCTTTGCCATTCTGGCGCTTGCTCTACTGTGCGCTCCACCTCGAACAGTCTTCTCCCCATCTCCACCCGCTTAGCCACCTCGTAGGCTTCCCTTAACGCTGCATTTGTTCCCAGGTCGAAGATCTTCACTTGCACGTCATGCTGCAGCTCGTAATTCATTCTGTTTAGGAACTTGTTCATGAGTCGGCCCTCAACGAGGCGCCCGTAGTATGCCAGCAGCAATTCCCCCGGTCTCTTTCTGAACTCCCAGAACTCTACAACGCACTCTGGGGTCTGCAGCGGGAACTGCTCCTTTAGTATGTCTAGAAATTGCACCGTCGGATCCAATTCTCCTGGCCTTCCTCTTGCAGCCCATTCCACTAAGTCCCTCATGCAAATGCAGTAATAGGTTTCAGCTTCTCCCGTCACAGTATTCGCCAGTCCGCGAAAAAACTCATCCGCCACAAGGCGATCTCTCTCCCACATTGCCCTCTGGTTCTCCAGCTGCATCAGATAGTTCTCCAGGGAGGGTCTGCAGCGTGTCTCGCCTGAGAACCTTTCCGGGACCTCCACCTTAGGGAGCATCGTAGAGCGCCATCGCAAGGACGTTGCCTCTTCTTCCGAGCCCTACCAGGACGCGCTCCGCTGATAGGCTCGCTCGCCCTGCTTGCCGGCTCCGCCAACCGTTCCTCCTTCCTCTGGCGTGGGCCATGCCACACCGTCCTTGGTCGCTCCCTTCTCCAATTTGTGTGTCGGATCGCGCTCCTCATCGGAGCCCATGGCTCTCTCCCGATTCGCCGCGTTCTGTCTCTCGGCACCCTACGTCTCCGCCCCCTGGCTATTGTCATTCTTTCCGTCACCATCCATCGTTCCCATCTCCCTTCCCGCCTCTTTCGATGCGTAATCCAGTCCGTATCTCGTGGGCATTCCCTCCACTAAGATTGCTTGTATGTGATGAGCTCCGAGCTCCCTCACATAATCTCACTTGTAGTTACTCCTACCTTGTGCTAGCTTGCCTTATCTCCTTAAGGTCCTACTTGCTCAGTTCACAACAAGAATTTCGTGTTGAAAGGAAACATACAAGCAATGATGAACACACAGCAATAATCCACCAATTCTACCAGCGAGTCCTCCTCCTTACGCTCGTCCCATCATTCCTAGCCTAGTCGTCGACTACTAAGATTGTCTTTGAGCAGGCTTGCATCCGTGCTACTTCTTGCCAACCCTCCTGCCTCTAATCTCATTGCCTCCAGCTGGAACTGCGCTGATCCAACTGGCTTCTTGGTGTGTACCTGCGAACAATAGGGGAAACAGCCATGCAAGCACACAAACACCCATCCACTGCCGTTCCCCGACCTCTTTCCCACTACCTTTGCTGAGTGCTGTAGAGTTACATTCAATCCTCTTGTGCTTACGTAAGTGCCGCCTCACAGGAACTTCCCCATGCAGATCCACCCCCTTCCATCACCCCTCGCGTCAGCAGAGGCCAGTTCCCCCGTTCACTCCTCATCCCTTGAAACGTCCTATGACTCTTCGCCTCCCATCCTCGCTAGCCGCTTCACTCATTATGTAAAATATGTACATTCTGTAAATATGCTCCTCCCCTTACCATTTGCTCCTCCCCTTACCATTTCACATTTATGCAAGTATGACAAACCTTAAAGCGTAACTTGCTCTAAACATGGCGAAATATCATAATAAAGCCATGATATCCAAGCTAGCTCTAGCCTAATCCAACAACCTGGGTGATACCTTCTGCACAATAGAACCTGCCAAAGCAACTGGAGGCAAACTCGCCACTACGGTTGCAGTGTAGACCAAGCACACGTTGGGCGCGCTGGGCACAGACGGCTAATATCCATAGAAGGAGAGCGCCAGGTATGTCAGCCGTCCACTCTAATAGAAGAACCATTATATAGCGGCAGTAATGGTCCACAATGACCAGGATGAAGTGCTCCCGGTATGGCCCAAGGATGACAGCAGGGCTCCACACGTCCATGTGCAGTGTTTGTAGTGGCGCAATGATGGGGGTAAACAATGAGGTAGGGGCGGCGCACTGCTTCGCCTCCGTGCATGGAGTGCACGGTGGCACATACGGGGGCCGGAGAGCGGGGAGTGACGACGGGAGACCAGAGACAAGACCATGCTGAACCATTTGACGAAGACGCGGGAGAGCGGGGTGACCTAGACGGTAGTGACACAGGAGCGACGGGTAAGTGAGCGACCGACACGATCACGGCACAACTACCTGACCCACCAAGGAAACATGCCCTTTTAACTCAGTTGGTTAGCGAACTGGAGTGCTACCCTGCATGCTGGACAAGGGAGTGCAGAAGCCCTGCGTGCGACGACTGGCCCAGATGCGGGGTCGGCCACGGAGCTGCGATAGAAGCTGGTTGCAGCGAAAGGGTGGTGCAGTTGCGAAAGAAGCAATGGGTGGCACAGAAGTTGAGAGTGGAGAGGGGTGCGGCAGCAGTGGACGCACCTAGGCAAGCAAAAACGCACTTCAATCAATTAGGGCCGTGGATGCACGTACCGTATACTCCCGGACAAAACACCCCCCCATAATTGTACACCCCCGAGTAGCTTGTGCGGGGTGGGTGTTATGATAGACCTCGTTTCTACTATACCCCCCTTTTTGGCTGATTTTCTATAACACCCCCCTTTTCTTACGGATTCATTATTATAGTCGTTAACGAGTAGCTGCAATACGGAAGAATATCGTGTGAATTTCTCCCTCAAAAAAATTTCGCGGTACATTCAAAGGCAATCTGCCGAGATTTGCCCCCTCCCACTATTTCTCTGTTGCCACGTGCACATGAATCTTCCGTTGCAAGTGGCAAGAGAGGTGTCACATGGCATTTTCGTGAGGGCGATGAAGTTCGAGGCCGAAACTGACATTCGCGCCTCAGGCAGTGATGCTAAAACCACCAGCAAAACACCCACATTGACTAATTAAAAAAACACTAACTCTAAAATATGCCATATGTAAAGATCCGCGTATTATGTATTTTTTTCCTATGAGGAGACCCCCCCCCCCATTTTTTCCCTGTATTTTTAGCTATACCCTAGGGTGTTATGTCCGGGAGAATACGGTATATTGAAATAGATTTTCTAACTGAATGGGGCAGTAGAAATTAACAATGATGGAATTTACGAACTCAATTTGTAGCACTTGCGACTCCTCTTTTTAAGACACATCTCCGCATTGTGGAGAACAATCTTGCTTAATTGCGTGTACCCCATTCATACTCAAACGCTTGGATCTGCATAAAAGCTTCGCATTTTCAACATACCATATGGTATTTATACACACTGTACCATAATATCTCTATCTCAAACGTGGTCCGTTCAGTTGTGGTCATCACCCGTGCTCCTACTTGCTTCTCCACTTGTCCCCTCCCCAACAGTCAAGCTCTCATCCTCTTCAGAACTGCCTTCGTCATCCGTCGTTCCCCTCACCACACTCACACTCCTTACCGCAGACTCAGCTGCAGGGCACACACGGTTATCCCTCTGCAGCCAACTCCCTCCCCCCGTTCCCAGCCCCCCCAGCCCACTCCCTTGCTGCGATATGCTCTCCCCCTCCCGCCTCACCACCTCCTCGTGCAGCTGCTTCAGCTGTGAGTGCAATTTGGCCATGGGGGGACGAGAGGCAGCAGGCATGGCCGTGCATGCCAGTGCCAGGGATGCAAGGCTCTTCATGACATCAGCATGCACAATGCTGGCACCAGATGCTGCAGGGGAGACCATCCGAGGGTCTATAATAGAGCTGATGTCACCACTGGAGAGCTCGGCAGCCGCCTGCATAATGGGAGAGAGTGGGTGCGAAGAGAGAGAATTTTAGTCAACTCAACAGTCATCCGAGGCAGCGAGTGGACTGCGGCATACAGATGAGGAAAATGAAACACACCCATTCTACGATGTGTGATGCTAGCCATCAAAAGAAAGGATGAATTGCAAGGCACTGGTTGGAGCACTCGGATAAGAAAAATGACTTACCCACTCCTGAATGTGCTCATGGCATCGACTGAAAGAACGGGCTTTTGAGGTGTTTCAAGAATGACTCACCCAGTCCCGGATGTGTGACTGTGAGCCATCGATTGACAGCATTGGCTCCCTACCGGTCAGCATCTCCAGCAGTAGCACTCCAAAACTGAGGGAAAGGGGCGGGGGTGGTCGTTCAGGAGAGATGAGTGAGGAGAGAGAAGTGGTGCTGAAGGAGAATTCGTTGTTATTATTAGTCAACTGAGATACGGGTAGTCGGTTGGTGTAGTGGCGGAGAAAGGAGTCATGCTCAGCGAGGATCCGCAGCAGCTGCTGCAGATTCACAGCTGGCAATGCGACGATGCACACAAATGCACGTTTGCCAGACACACAGTTATCCACCCTCTGTTGTTTGCAAAACACTTTTGCGTATTGGTGGTAGCGAGTGACAAGATTCCGTGGTGCTATTTGGAGAGCGTATTTTTTAGGCGCCTCAAGCCTAAAAAAAATCCACCCCATGCAGATCACAAGACACTTTTGCATGCTGGTGGGAGTGATGACATGATGCCGTGGTGCTATTTGGAGTGCACATAGCCTGATGCTCCCATCACCCATGCCCACACAATGCAGCACCAAGGCACCACCACCGGTCAGCACCGCTCACCTGTATACATCGGTGGCGGTGGTGGCAAGGCGGGTCTGGAGGTATTCGGGGTCCACATAGCCCGGTGTGCCCATCACCCTCGTGGTGTTCACCTCAGTCGCCTCCATCTTCCGCATGAACCCAAAGTCCGCCACCTTCGCCTGAAATGGTGCATCGCATGGCGACAGAGAGGGAGTGAGAACAGGCAGGACAAGTTGAACAGGGTGGCTCCTCGAGCTGTAGAGAAGGGTTCTGTGGGTCGCTTCCATCTCCGCATGAACCCCAAATCCGCCACCTTCGCCTGGGAGGGTGGGGTGGTGTTGTGATGGAGGAGGAAGGGAGGAGATGGGTTAACCCGAATTCACCACCTTTGGTTGAGAGATGCTCTCCAAGAGGTGTGTGGCATGGCATGAAGGAGGAGGAGAGGTGAAGGAGAGGGAGATTGTTAGAAGTTTGCAGAAAGAAGGGGACACATTTGCGGTTTCAGGGCCAAGTGACAATGGAACAGTGAAGAAGGAAATGGAACAGTGAAGAAGTAAATGGAACAGTGACGAAGTAAATGGAACAGTGAAGAATTAAATGGAGCAGTGAAGAAGTATATGGAACAGTTACGAAGTAAATGGAAGCAAAACAGGAGTCCTAAACTGATGCAGTACTGTTGGATGACTCACCCACGTGTCTGCATCCAGCGCACATTTTTCACCCGCGCCTAGTCAGTCATTCAAGCTCTGGCCTCACCCGCATGTCTGCATCCAGCGCACATTTTTCACCCGCGCCTAGTCAGTCATTCAAGCTCTGGCCTCACCCGCATGTCTGCATCCAGCGCACATTTTTCACCCGCGCCTAGTCAGTCATTCAAGCTCTGGCCTCACCCGCATGTCTGCATCCAGCGCACATTTTTCACCCACGCCTAGTCAGTCATTCAAGCTCTGGCCTCACCCGCATGTCTGCATCCAGCGCACATTTTTCACCCGCGCCTAGTCAGTCATTCAAGCTCTGGCCTCACCCGCATGTCTGCATCCAGCGCACATTTTTCACCCGCGCCTAGTCAGTCATTCAAGCTCTGGCCTCACCCGCATGTCTGCATCCAGCAGCACGTTGGCCGGCTTCACATCGCGGTGCGCGATCCGACGGTTGTGGAGGAAGCTCAGCCCGTCCGCCACGTCCACCAGCACCGCCAGCCTCACACGCAGCGACATGGGCTTGGCCCCTGGGAGGTGGGGGCGTAGGAGAATGAAGAGGGCACGATGGAATGAAGGAATGGAGGCATGAAGCCATGGGCTTGGCTCCCGGGAGATGCGCGGTGCAGACATGGAAAAATGAATAGGGCCTCCAGAACAGGTGCTTGCAGGCTTGGCTCCTGAAAGGCACGGGCATGGGGAAGCAGTGAGAGGAGGGCTTGGGGAATGGGAGTATAGAGGGATGGGATGGGAGGGCTCCCCATTCTTCCACCCTCTATTGATTTCTCCCAACTGCCTCCCTCATCATTCGACATCCGTCATCATTCGACATATTTATTGAATATGAATCGTTCTTTCATTGGATCACCACTAATATGTATATATATATACATATACAGTCTCATTACCTTTCTTGTCAACGTTATCTCTATTATACTATGAACCATCATGCGAAGTGTACTGCCATCCTTTGTATTCTGAAGGATGTGAACGCCTTTCATCAACCCTTATTGAACAAGCCCTGCTGGCCGAATCGCACCTGGCATGGTCCACTGGGAGAGATCCCCGTTGGGCATGAACTGAGACACGATGATTTGCTCCATCTGCAGGGTCTCCTCATTGTAGTCAATGCAGTACCCCAGCAGCGGCACCAGTGCTGGGTGCTTCAGCCGTGACAAGTCTGCCACCTGGGAGAGGGAGGATGGTCAGGAAGACCAAGTAAAAGAACGAGGTGTGCGTGAGAGCCAAGTTGTAGTTGATGCAGTACCCAGCACCACTAGCAGCCTCGCGCGCTGCAGCAAGAACAGTGAGGTTTTGAGACATGAAGATTTGCATCCTTCCTTTTGAAAAGCGTGGGCTTCCTAAAATCAGTTTGTGAAAGGTGCAAATGGGAAGAAAAGCCAACTCATGTTTGAATTTCACTCATTGTTGCTGGCGCGCATATTGAAATCGACTTATAGAAGTAGTTGACTTCAATAGCTTAACTTGGACATTTCCCCTCCTATTCTGGACAATAGATTTTACAGCTCAACCATCCATTCGTCTTTAGAATGATTTCAACCCTTAACGTAATCCCTTCGCAATGTTGGTACTCATCTCTTCCCAAGATCAGTGAGACCATTCGTTTTTTGCCAGAGTTCTCCTCACTGCATAGTGCTCACACCTTTGATAGCGACAAAAAATACACCGTTGAAAAAAAAAAACCTTAAACAAAAAGCTTCCAGGTTTTCAATCTCATCCCAACCCATCTGACCCATTTCCCATGTTAAGAATTTGCAGTTTTGTACTGCAAACAGCATCCCTATCTGCTAACCACTTGCACAAAGTCATAGGAGGGGGCCGTGGCACGTTTGACAGCCCACACCCGCCCCACACCGCATAAAATATGTGATGTCCCTCACCTCCTTCATAAAGTCGTTGGAGAGGGCCGTGGCGCGCTTCACGGCCCACAGCACCTCCGGGTCTTGCGGGTCCACGCCCTTGTACACGTCGCTGAAGCCCCCCGAGCCGATCAGGTTGACCTCCGAGAATAAGTTGGTGGCCTGCTGGATGTCCGCCAGTGAGTACTGCTTGCACGCTGGGGGAGGAGAGGGAGGGGGGGGAAAGGGGGTGGTGGAGAAGGGGTGGTGGACAATGGAGGGAGGGGTGAGGGTGGATAGAGGGAAGCACTTGTCTAGGATCTGACTCAATCAGGTTGACCTTCGAGAAGAAGTTGGTGGCCTGCTGGATGTCCGCGAGTGAGAAGCAAGACATGGGGAAGAAACGGGGCTGGAATGAGGCATTTGTTTTGTGGAAACTAAGCTGATCAGCAGAGGAGGAGAGAATTGGGTGAAGATAGAGGGAGGCAGAGGTGACTGGCAATGTCTTTGAGTGTCTGTTTATGCACTGGCAATTTGGCCACCCACAGGCGGCTTGGCTTTGTTCAGTTCATAATAAATTGCAGCATCCTACCAGGCTTCGTTTGGCGGAAGCAGAACCAGAGCAAGATGATCAGGGCGATGAGAGCAAGGAGTGCAATGAGTGCCGCCGCCACTATGGCTGCTATGACCCCCGAGGAGAGAGAACTGGTGGAAGCCAAGGGGTTGGCTGAAGCATGGAGAGGGAGAACCGAAAAAGGGAGAGAGGGCAATGATAATGATGAGAGTTTGGAATGAGTGTGCAAGTGTGGCTGCGATGGCTTCTACTCAGAGTGGGGTGGTGGTGGCAGAGCAGAGGAGGCAAATGGTGTGATAGAGAATTGTGAGAATACGGTGGTGGGAGAAGGAGAGATGGAGGGACTTTATGAAAATCGTACAGGAAGAATCCAGACGAGATAAGGAACTGCATGATGGAAGAGAATGGGGAGAGCAAACGAGCAAGAGACACAAATTATTGGGAGAGAGAGAGAGTGGGTTCAGGATGGCAGAAACTTTAACAAATGCGAGGTGTAATGGGTGACAGAACTTGTGCAGTGGACAAGGCAGTGCAGGAGGGACTGAGGGAGCAGAAGCAGCAGGAGACGCACTGGGTGCAGAGGAGGAGCAATCGAGGCAGTAGCTCTGGCACACGTGGCAGGTGGCGTTGGGCGCAGACGAGTTGGCAGACGCAGGGGAGCTGGAGTCGGTGACAGCTGGCGACGTGGGATTGGCTGGTGGCGCAGGAGGGGGCATCGGGCTGGCGGGCGGCGTAGGGGCAGCAGGGCAGGTGGCATTGTCGTTGCAGAAGATGCCGGGGGTGCCGTACCTGGTGTGGTTGGGGGAGCGGGAGTGGAGGGTTGTGAGCCGTGCCATCACTGGTACACAGTGTTACATACAGTTGTCTCAACTGAATGCCTGTGGCGGGGACTGAAAATCGTGAATTATCATGCGTAGAAGGTTCACGCTTTACAAGCCTTAATAGATAGGGAGACCGTAAAACATAATCACTCATGTACCAGCGTGCATTGAAACAACCATTTTTCCTGGCAAACTCTCTAATTACTCCTCTGCGAGGGTTTGGAGTGACTCACAAGGCCTGCAGCTGCCCCAGGCTGTTGATGCCCCATGGCACTGACCCAGCCACCCCTGTGTAGCTCAGATCCCTGCAGTGCAGTTCAGAGAAGAGCAGCTTGGTTACAGCCTGAAAATGTTTTTTTCCCCCAAAGATATTGGACACTGACAAAAACATAACGATCCAGAACTGCGCAGTTAACTGCTATGTATCCCAGTCCATATCAGCTAAGGCTCCACATGTCTATGCAAGCTGACAGCTTCTTCGGTAAATGCAATTTGAGATGCGATTTAGGAGGCATTGTTGAGTGGGGTTGCAAACATGTGCATTTCAGCAGCTGTTTGGCGACTGTGAAATGCGGCAAGTGGCTTGCTGACTGTGATGGCTTGTAACAGCCACACAGTTCTATTAATGGCTTGCGGGAGCAGCGATTTGGAGGTTTGATGCCGAGAGTCTACTGCTGGGTATCTCACAGGAAAACCAGGTTGGAGAGTGAGGTGAAGGAGTCGGGGATGGGACCTGTGACGCTTGAGCGGCTTAGGTTCCTGCACAGTTGATGTGAGGCGTGGAGGATGATTGAAGGTACGCATGGGGGTATCCATTGACGGTCGTGAGTGAGAGGTTCATGCCCAGCAATAGGGCATGGTGGGCATGTAAAGAAGGGCGAGGAGAGGGAGGAAGGGGGGCATGGCCCGGTGCAGCAGCCTGTGTTTCCACAGAAAACCCTTGCAAGTACACTGGAAATGCCTGAGAGTAGAGTTTAATATCTCAGTGGGCCATTATCCCAATGCGCCAGCATGGCATGGTAACCAGCCACAGCGGTTCAAGGAGGGCATTGAGGATGATAAGGATGATGGGGATAAAGAGGATGATGGGGATAAAGAGGATGATGAGGATGATGGGGATGATGGGGATAAAGAGAATGATGAGGATGATGAGGATGATGAGGATGATGGGGATGATGAGGATGATGAGGATGATGGGGATGATGGGGATGATGAGGATGATGGGGATGATGGGGATGATGAGGATGATGGGGATGATGGGGATGATGAGGATGATGGGGATGATGGGGATGATGAGGATGATGGGGATGATGGGGATGATGAGGATGAAGAGGATGATGGGGATGACGGGGATCATGGGGATGATGGGGATGATTAGGATGATGAGGATGATGGGGATGATGGGGATGATGAGGATGACGGGGATCATGGGGATGATGGGGATCATGGGGATGATGATGATGATTAGGATGATGAGGAGCACATGAACCAATCTGGGCGTACAGGGAGGTGAGGCCTGAGAGGCGGCCGATGCTGGTGGGGATGGAGTCTGAGAGGTTGTTGCGACTCATGTCCCTGGGAGGGGGTATTGGCATACATGCGATTGGAAGAATATGGGACACGTTACGGGTGGGTAGATGAAGGCATGCATCCACACATGCGCATCATTCACATGGCCATCACTCCGCATGAGCAGGAATCACTCGCATGTGCATCCTCACATGTGCATCACCCTCCATGTGCATCACCCTCCATGTGCATCACTCTCACAGGAGCATCAAACTCAGAGGTGCATCGCTCACATGTGCACGAGCAGGGTGAGGCCGCCAAAGGCAGAAGGGATTGACCCAGACAGCTGGTTGCCGCTCAAGTCACTGTGGAGGGGAGAGGGAAGAGAGGAAGTGTGAGAAGGCGCTGAGGAGTGAGACTTGCAAGATGATATATCAATTGTTAATGACAAGAATTAACTTTCAGCAGAGGAAAGCAGCTGAAAGGAAGACACAGCTTCTAGAAGGCCAGTACAAAAATGAGGCCTGAGAAAAATCTAGATCATAACAGAGTAGGCACTCTTACATGCATGTTGTTGTAGTGTGGCATTCTCTGAGCTCTTGGTACGTGCTTTGATATTCTTCTGACATCCCTCTAGCATTTTAGTTTGTTAAACTTGTCACCCCTCCTCCATAAGTGGAAGTCTTTCGGTACTCACGTGTATGTATAATTTCTTTCTGTCTGTTAAACAGGTTACCAAATCATGCATCTTGAGCAACGCCTTTATGTATTGAACGAAATCAACAGAAGGACATAAAGAATCAGAAGTGCCTTGCAATTGCGTTGCACTAGTGACTCATGAACTCACGCTTTGAGATCTTACAGTATGTGATACAATGCAATTTGCAGTGTAACGTGCACTTAACACAAGCTGATACAAGGTGTACATACATTATTTGAGTCCAGTTGGATTACAACCCAAGCTTGTCTCATGCTTGTAAGAATTGGCCTCGTTGCCCTTATTTCAGGAATCTAAGGCTGGTCTTGCTTTACAAGACATGGCCTTCAAGTATCTAGCTTAGCTAAGTGACTCTTACAGGCACGTCAGCTGGTCCAGAGCTCCCAGGGATGTAGAAAGCGTGTCAGAAAACGAGTTGGTGCTGAGATTTCTGTGCGGGCAGCAGGGAAAGTGAGGGTGAGTCAAGAAGAAAGGAAGCACAGCACGTTCAGCAGCATATAGCGCCCATATGTGCAGCACGGATGGTATGTAGGCGAACGACTGAAATAAAGTGTTATCTAAACGGTGTGGATGGTAGATTTTGGCACATGAATTTATTGAGAGTACTTTGGAGTGTCGCTCTCTCATTTACAAGCACCACACGATGAGTAAGGTTTCTGCAAGGTTCACTCACAGCCTCTGTAAGAGCGTGAGCACGCTCAGGAAGTCTGGAATGCCACCACTTAGAGAGTTGCCACTCAAATCCCTACAAATTACAGCATGCCACGTGGGTTTTCAGAAAGACAGAAAGGTTCAGCGAAAGGCAGAGCAGAGTTAGCAAGGGTGGAGCCATGTGACCACATACAGTGGTTTTGGAAGCCACGAGTCAACACATAATTCAGAAGCCACATGTCAACACATGATTTAAAAAAAGACACGTGACAACAAATGATGAAAATAAGCCTCGTGTCAACACATGATTCTCCGGCGTTCATGAGAAGCCACATGGAGGTTTCATGAATGATGGAAAAAAATGGTCTCACAGGAAGCTAAGGAGTTTCAGGGCTTGGAGAGAGGTCGGGATGGCGCCTGAGAACTGGTTGCCACTCGTGTTGCTGCTTGGCAGATGGGTGACAGGACAGGAGGTGTGGAGGAGATGTGTGAGGAGGTGCACATTTGGGTTGCAAACGCTGCTGGTGCATCGACAAGAAATGCAAGGGTGGGGATGCAAGGAGTAAAGAGGTTGCGGTGGCACGCACAGGGATGTAAGGGCCACGAGATTGCCGAGCTCTGAAGGAAGTGAGCCGGAAAGCCTGTTGCTGCTGACGTTCCTGCAGGCAAGGGGAGGGCGAGGGCAAGGGCGTGGTTGATGGCGCAAGAGATAGCACGTGGTCTAACCTGGCTTCGTCAGCTTTGAAGTACCATGCACAAATAAAAATGCAGTGCAAAGCTGAGGGTAGATTCCAGCACTGGAGTGCTGGAGTGAAAGTGAGAGTGGTAACGCCAGCGCATGCGTACAATGAGGCAAGGCTGCTGAATTGTGCAGAGTACAACGGAAATCCTCCTGTGAAGTTGTTGCCGCTGAAATCTCTGTTTTTTGCCACCAGAACATGGACATAGCAGAGGAAGAATGTGGTACGCAATTTGCAATAGAAACGCCACCGTATACGGTAAATTTACAGCTGCTCTCATGTATTTCTTTGTGTGTGTGTGTGTGTTTTTTTTTTCTCTTCTTCTTCTTCAACTTATGAAAGCACTGAACACGGAACTTAGAGAGATACTGCGAAAACAAGTACAGCAGTGCAAGCTTGGCATGTGGTATGCAATTTATGAGATACGTACACTGCCGATACATTGTTCGGGAGATTGGGCAGCGACCCCTCAAAGTTGTTGTTCTGCAAATACCTGTGATGTGATCATTCCCAACCATGCATGCAACATATCATGGCACGGCATAATACAGTGCACCCACGCCATACCGTGTCATACAAGAGAAGGCAATTTGATAATAAGCTGTGTTTTGTTAAAATAAAACAGCAGCCAGCAGCAACAGCGGCGGCGGCAGGAGCGAAAGCAGCACTCGAATGAAGTTTTCGTGTTATCCACTGAAATCCACACGCATGTCCCAACAACCCAGATGCTATCGGGAGAAACAAAGAACACAAGATGCGGGTAGCGTGAACAGAGGGCAAACAGAGCACAGGGAACTTACAGGATGCTGAGGGAGGTAAGAGCGCTGATGGTGGTAGGAAGAGAGCCAGAGAGAGAGTTGTTGCTCAGGACCCTGCAGTGGCCATGCCGTGGGACACACAAAGGGGTTGGGTTGAGAGTGGTTTTCCAGAATAGGCCCTTTTATAAAGCTGGCTGGACTACCATCTGAAGCTGTCATGTTGATATTGCACAGGTTAGCTCCTACTGGCATTGCATGATAACGCATTGGCCCACAGATTGGCAGCATGTACTCCTAGGGGCATCATATTCGGTGGTAACGATATGACAAGCCTGAAAGAAATGGAGCTCAACTGATTGATTAGTAAAGAAGGCACTAGGCCTTAAGTACAAACGAGATGGGGTTGAGCAAGGCTAGGGAAAGGATGGGATGAGAATCCTATCAAATCTCCAATTGGTGAGTTGGCAGATTTCCAGGATTACGAGGGAATCCCAACCAGATAGGGTTGGGATTACAAACTACACCCAACCCGCAAATAACCTACGTGATATAGAATATAGTACACAAAGTGTTGACAGCCTTATTCTAACAAAGCCAAGTGCCTAGGCTGGCTTGACGGCTTGTTTTTGCATCAGCTGCGAGCGCACGCACAGTTTGGTAAGGTTGGTAAGGCTAGAGAAGCTTTCAGGGAAGGATCCTCTCAGGTAGTTGCTGCCAAGACCGCTGGAGAAAAAGAATTTTCATCATAACAGGAGGAGCGTGGGGACATATCCAGGGGGTATGGAAATTACGAGAGAAATTATCATGAATTTATTTTGAGGCCTGAGGACGTTAAGTGATAAGACAACGCTAGCAGGTATGTGCACAAGCGCTGAGTGCGTGAGTGCTCACAGGTCCTTGAGAGCAGGGTTCTGGCCAAGCTCAGCAGGTAGCTCGCCTGAGAGGCTGTTGTTGTTCAAAATGCTGCATGCATTTCACACATGGAGCATCAGAATGTAATACCACACACGGTGAATTTTGACTTTGGCAGACACAATCAGGAGCAATTCAACAACTTAAGCCATACAACTGGAATGGGTTAAGTGTGTGCACCAGTGGTCAAGAAACAAAACAGCTGAAGCTGTGCAAATCTTGTTAGGAACAAACAAAACAGTTGAACTATGTGCAAAGGCTTACAGCATTGTCAAGCTGGTAAGGTTGGCAAAGCCAGTGGGAATGGGCCCACTCAAGCGGTTGTGGGCCAGATTCCTGCCAGTTCCATTTGCATTCAGATGGTGACAAGATAGGCAAGGGGTTACCTTAACACGAGTGAGTGAGGTCCTCTCAGTGACACACACACATGGTGGGATGGGATGGTAAAGGGGTGTGAGGCGCAATCGGAGACTTGAACCAAGTATAATGTGAAAAGGGAGGAAGTGGCACTGGTGGTACTGGTCATGTAGGTGAAGGTAAAGAGGGGCTGCAGCAGGCAGGTCTCCCATACCCTCCCTTTTGATGTTCGCCTTTGTAAGGGTAAGTATGCCCTCAGGTGTATTCTACACGTCGCATGCACACTGATGTGCACATTCATATGCAGGTGAGATCCATAAGCACCTTCACATACACATGCATGCGTCCATGTTTTGCGTGAACGTGTATGGACACGAGAGTCCTCATGACTTCGAAGTTCTCATGCCAGGTTTCTGAGAGACGTCATTGACTGCATTGACTTCATTGAGCATCACACAGCAGGCATCTCCCTCCACGGATTGAGCACAGAATTTTACGGCTCTTGGCTTCATGCGCAGGGACACTGAAATAGGCCATGCTGGTGGTGGTGTCACTTCTAGAGAACTCATAAGTAATACACGAGTACTCACAATCTCTCAAGGGTCGTCATTCGTGTGATGGTGGTCGGCAGGGGTCCACTGAAGTTGGCCCTCTTCCCATCGCTGCAGGTCAGAAGCTCCAAACAAGTAAGGCACAGGAGCATTCGATAGAGCCATTCAGATTGTGTATGCAC